TGTGTGTGTGAACAGAGCACATAGCCTATTGTGTTTCAGTTAGTGAGGCAATGGAGGAAAAACAACATGTGTAATAGTCACCTTACATAACGCTCTACACATGCTTTAAGTGCACAGGATTAAAATACACACACTGGGGTATTTTAATGGTGCAGGTAATGTTTCATAAGCACTTAAATATCCCGAAATATCGTGAGTTGAGACTGATCAGGGAACAGTGAGGATGATGAACAGTGATATTTTTGGGATATACGCTAATTCACTTTCTTGCTGAGAGTTTGGTGAGAAGATCTATACCACTCGTATATCTGAAGGGTCAATATGAAGCTGTCGCTAGCAGACGGTTAGCGCGGCGTGGAAATATAGAAGACATGCTAGCCTGGCTATATTGAAGTAAAGCTCTCTGGATAACACATTATATTAAGTTTGTTTAATCTGTACAAACTCCAAGGTGTAAAAAGTTGAGTGAAATGACAAATTCATGAGCTTTAGTGGTAAGACGATTATGAGCTTGTTTGGATATTTAGATATTTGCTTTCGTTTTTCTTGTTACATTACAGATGGGGAGGAAAGAAAAAAAGAAAAAAAAGAAAAAGAAAATGGCATGATCTGAGAGTGTGCCCTGCTGCTGCTTTGCTGACTGTAGCTGTGCACAGACAGTGTAAGGATTTGGGTAATTAACACCGTTGCAAATGATAGATAAACAAAAACAAAAGCATAGAACTATGTACAAAGAATGTTCTAAACTAGGCATTTATTACGTCAGCATAATCACTGCATGAATACATGTAAGCTGCCAAGTTTAAGCTTTTTTTTTTTTTTTTTTTGACACCTGTCTGCCGCACACACAGGTTTAGTCCCATTTCCAGCTAAACCTGTGTCGTGTTAAACGGCTGTGAGAGAACGAGGAGTCAGCAGCACATTAGCCCGTGTGACCACGTCTCAATTATTGCGATTATAAACTATCACAGAGGATAATGAGAGGATACTTGCACAACCTGTGGGCAGTGAGACCCAACTAACAGTGTAACTCTACTCGACATTTAATACAGTGAGATAGACCCAGGAGTGTTTGCTCCATTTAAATGGCTGCTATAGCTTGCAGGTTGTGCACCTATTAAGCCTCTGTGGTCTTCACTGATATTATATAATACAGGGGAAGTCCGTTTTTAACCATCAATGTTGTTCCATTTCTTTGTCCACAAAATAAAGGAAGGAAATTATGCTACATACATGTCCCATTTCTGTAAAATGCTATTACATCTCTGTAGTATAATAATGCATTACTGTTTGTCTTGATGGTTTGCAGAACAGCATATGCATACAGACAGAAGTGTTGATAATGATGATGATCTGGACTCCAAACTGTAATTCAATGGAGATCGAATAGGAATGGTCTGTTATTACATATGGTCCATGATAATTTCATTACAGGTTGCCCCCAGTAAATCTTACCCAGTTCAGACTTCCTCCTCAGACTCTAATGAGCAGGAATTCTGCCTCTCCCCCAGTCTCCTGTTCAGTGTGGGAATACTGGGTCTCTGCATTTCTGCAGGCTAATAGCTAGTGTTTAATCATTTGCATAAAAACAACTAGCATATGTTAGCTTAGCAGCCAGCCACAGGCAGTTGTTTTGTGAGCAAGGCCAAAGGAGGTAGTTATCGTTCTGTTTTTAGGGTTGTTTTGGGAAGCAGGATCTGGTGTGATGTTGTTTCGCAAGATGTTGTGGCCCAGATTCCTGTCAGTCACAGTAACCATATGCAACACGGACCACTGTATGTTGAAATGCATGGATCGCAACCGCTTGAGTCTGATGATTACAAGTAAAGCATGTTACTCCTCTTCAAGTGGAATAAATTTGAATGTGGTTTTGAATAATAGATGATCCCCTGAGGTGTCATGGAATTATCTTTGCCTTACAACCTCCTCTGCAAGCTGACTGTGGGAATGTGCAAATTCATTTTGTGTTTGAAAAAATGGGAAAGAAGGGGTTATGAAACACTAAATGACTGAATGACGTCAAAACCTGATTGATATTATTCCAAATCTGCTGTTACATTTGAGTTTTCATCTAGAGCCTTTTACAGCTGAGTGTAATCATAAGCTCAAACTCCTGAATCACCAACATTACAAGCAAACAGTAGTAGTGTGGGCCGGGGTCAGGGCCACAGCTGACTTAGTCAAACCAAAATCGTCAACATATTTTGATTATTAGTCAGGCTTCTGCTACAATGACTAATAAATGTCTCAAACAAGTTTCTAGTTTGTAACGAGAATGACGAGAGTAAGTAATTACTTATCGGATAGTATATTTATTTTAAAGGTACAAAATGCAAATTCTTGATATCAATCTAGCACTAGAATGAGACTCAAAAGCAAACCTCCCCTCCCCTAACCCTAACCCTCGCACTCCCGCTCCGCCCACCCCTTCACCTACATCCTCGTTGTGTTCGCTTTCTCGGCTGATGCAGGAATTTGCTAACCTCTCTACGTATGGCTAGTCAGCCATACGTAGAGACTTCTTCCAGGAGCTAATTACTAGCTTGGTATTAGAGGAGTAAGTAGAAGCATGTTTACTGAAATGTGATATCCAGTATGTTATTTTTTAACTAAGTTTTTGTTTTTGTACAGGCTACAGTTTATATCTAGTTAATATATTTTGTACTTCTGTACACCAGTATCTTACTGCTGCACAAATTCATATTTTTTCATGCCTTGTAAATAAATAATTGCCCCCCAAGTCACTGCTGCACTAGCAAAAAGATTCCCTGTTTTGCCAGTCAATAATATCTGATTTTAAAAAACTCAGCTCTTCATGTTTGTTAGTAATTATCTCTCACCTTTTTCTTGCAAACATTGCTTCAGCACAACCAGTCTTGCATACTAAGGCTAAATAGTTTCTGATTGGAACAACAAACAGCCGAGGACAGACGGCTGTAGACAGGTTAGTACTCTGACCAAACGACAGTCTGCTGCTCCTGGATCGACTCAAAAACACCCTTTTCGTCCTGTGTTTCTTTAGATCTGCTGATGGAGTTTATAAACCCAGAACACAAGACATGCATGTAAACATAGCAGGTCATGATTACAAGGGTTTAGTGGTTCCAGAGGAGACTTGATACTCCACTCTTTGGTATCACCCACTCATCTTTTGTAGGCTGTAAAACTGGCTGTTAACAGCTCACAGAGAACAACAGCTGTGGTCACCTTGAAGTTTTGTTTGTCATAAAAATAGTAACAAGTAATTGCTGCAAAACATCATGAAACTTCTCCAGCCATAAGCTTAATATGTTCCAGACATTTCCACCAGGATATGGCTACATGAAGTGATTCTGTTTATTCTGTTCATTGCAACGGATTAGACTCAAGCAGCTCAGTGGGTTTGGTGATATAATTACAAATGACAATACAAATTACCTTTTCGACCATATATCAAAAATAAGGCTGGACTGCTTCCAAGGAGTGAGATGCAAATTCCTCAACAGTGTTGTACCCAAACATATAGGTTTTGAATTTTGGCAGGAGCAGCCTGTGAGGGGAGAACAGAAGGGGGGGGGGGCTTGGAGGGATTTTGAAAGGTTGACGACAGACGTGGTGCAGCGTCCTGGATGGGTCAATTGGGCTGAAGGAGTACACAGAGTCGGGGTATCCACGAGGGAGCTTAGATAGTTTGGATAGATTATTAAAGCTTTGACATGGAGCTGGGCAGAGTCCCCTGTGAGCTCTCTGACTCAGCACTGTTCACTCTTAAAGTTTCCCTGACAGACAGTTGTGTGTCGCTCACACAAATATTTTCACAGTCTAGCAGGGAGTCATTAGTGACAGAGGTCCTCTAAACTTTTTTCACTTCCTCAGCTTTCCATGGCGTGCATGTTTGGCTTCAGCAAAATGACTTATGACTCACATGACCTCTCAGTTCACTTACAGGCCTGTCTTCTTTCTCTAATATCCTAAAACAAAAAACTCAGCAAGGATATGATACGTTTCTATTAGCTTGTTCTGTTTACATTGGTGTTGCTGCCTTGAAATGTTTTGCTAACTTGGATACTCGTCTTAGTGAGGCTCAGTGGGAGTTCGACTCAGAACTAAAAGTTCTGGATGTTTGCATTTATGAGTCTCATACGAACCAAAGTTGACCTCAGCCTGGGTGGAGTAAACATCTGTTTTTGTGTGACACTTGCACAGATGGTCCGTTGAGCTCTCAGTCTGAAGTGAAGATGTCATCACCCGGCTGAAACAGTAAATGTTAAATTTGGGCACTCAGCCTCTTAGCTCATGATCAGTGCTATTTTGTGACAGCCCAAACCATCTGACTCACCCCTGCTGCTGTTGTAGACCCTGGCTTTGTTGCATCAGTGGTGATTTGGGAGACCTAGTGGTGGAAGTGAAAGTGTGGGCTATGGTGGTGCGATGTTCTGTGTAAAATTTAAATTTATTTATTAAAGCAGTAGTTCAACATAGTGCGAAATACACTTATTTGCTTTCTTGCAAAGAGTTCGATGACAGGACTGATACTGTAAAGTAAAGCTACAGCAGCTAGACGATTAGAAACAGGTTTCTAATCAAGGTCTCCTACTGCACTGATGCTTTGGTGTTTTCCCGCACTTTGGATAAAAGCATCCACCAAATGAGAACATGTAAATGTAAATGTAAATCCCGCCTTTTGCAGTGTTTATGCTAAGCTAAGTGAACATGCTTTAAGGCCCCAGTAGTAATCTCACAGTGATACACTATAGCAGGTGGACACTAATGAGATATTTATGAGGTTTAGCTGCTGTTAATTAATCCCAGCAGCTCAATTGTGTTTTTAATTTACAGTGATAATTCAGATGCACGGTTTGTCTTCCTTCACATGTGAATCTTAACATTAGATGTCTGCAGTCTCCTCTTGCTTGCTGTCTTCTTCACTTTGAATTTTGCCGCTTTTTTTCGCTGACAGACCTGTTTCCTCTTTTCTCAACAAACGCCTACTTCCTCCTTCTGTCTGTCTCTCTCTGCACTCTCTTGGTAGCTCTTTTGCCTGAGGTCTGAAGTCTTTGTCTATAGCTAATGATGCTGAAGGCACTTCACTTGCAGCCAGATACTCAGACTAGACTAGCTTAGAAAAGAGCTGCCTCCTCTATCTGCTTTGCTTGCACCAGAAGCAGGTTGACTGGGGGGAGAAATTACTGTGGCTGCTTGTTTGTCAAGTTTTCCGGGTGAGTCCTCACGTCTTCATAGTATTTCTCACTCTTTCTTCATGTTGCACAGGATGCAGTAGGCCTCAGGGTGCGGCTCTGTTCAATCTCCTGCCTCTTTTCCTCTCCTGTGTGTCACCAGTGGGCACAAACATTGTGGTTAGATGTTTGCATCTTGGAGTTGTAAATGTCTTGGTATGTACTGTACATGCTTGTTGGCTTATCCGGGATGCGTCTCGCTGTTGGTTTTCCACATCTAACCAGAAAAGAATGGAAATGTCAAAGAACGGATGTGTTTTTAAGACAGTTGAACGCTGTGGCCTCATGGTTTTGGGGGGTGGGGGGTGGGGCGGTGGAAATGTGGTGTCAGTAGTTTATGATTTTGGAAGGGATAAAGAAAGAGCATGCTCACACAGCTGATAAATCTGCTGCATTGGAAAGTAATTACTTCAAAATACACATTATGGATTAGTTGTGTGCCTGCAGGCCTAATTTTGCTGTGTTTTTTTTTTTTTTGGAAAGTGTCTTCTTTTGTTTTTCTGTCTCCTCGTCTCTAAACGTTCCAGTGTTTTGATTATCTGGGTTTGCAGAATGCCATCCAAGTACCTCTAATTGTTTCTGACTCGCATGTTTACTTCAAATTGCTGTCTTGCTCTGCTCGCAACGCTATCGCAATTATTTAGGCTGGGCTTGTACAATGTTCAGCAATACACTGTAGTTCCATGCTTCACTTGTTGTCCTGTGCGTGTGTTAGATCCGAAGGCGCACATATAGTAGGTTCCTGCTTTATATGTGCTCAGTATAAATGCAGGGAGTCGACTCTGTGTCCCAATATAGTGGGTTCCCGCCTCGGCAGGAGGTCGGCTGGCTGCTGTACAGAGTTGTTCGGAGTTGCTGGTACTAACATTTGACAGGATATCCTGGTTGCAGAGGTGTAGCGAGAACCAGGGCGGGTTTGTCACAAATAGAGGCCTGCTGAGAGTCACACACAAGTGTTGCCAAATGTCAGAAGATGCTGTGCTGAATTCGCAAAAATCATCTGGTGCTTTGTCGTTTATCAAGCAATCATTTGGTCTGAATGCTGTCTTTGTATCTCGCTGGTATATAGTCATGCTTTTTGAGGCTTTTAGAGCACGGCACTTCCTTCCTTGGTTAAATCTAGAGGCCATATTTCTAAATCCTGACCCCAGCCTTCCTCCTTTTCCTTTTGTCTTCCCCCTTTATTTGTAGCCATTTTGTCAACCCTTTGTCTTAGTGTGTGTGTGTGTGTGTGTGTGTGTGTGTGTGGCATTTTTAAGATTCTTCGTTTCAGTGTAGTTGTTGTCATGTTCTTCTTTTGTGTCTTTTTGCATTAATATTCTACATCAGCGCTACTTGAACCCCAGTAGGTACTACTGCAGTTTCAGAGTTGAAAAAATTGTAGAGCTCAACAAATTTGCAAAGTTAACCAAACCAACATTTTTAGTTAATATGTCAGTATGTCTGAGGAAAAAAAGGTTGCGGGAACCACTGTGTGTGTGTGTGTGTGTGTGTGTGTGTGTGTTTCTGACATTCACACGCCTCTCCTCAAGGGTGTAACATGACCATCGTGTGGTAAGTGTGTGTGTGTAGGTGCGTGAAGGTGTCACGCTCAAAGCGACAGTAACGTGTTCCTCTACACCGTGTCAGTAGGCTTTTGTCTCAGCCCTCAAATAAAGGATGGTGCACTTTTTGTCGAGACATAAACACACACACACACACACACACACACACACACACACAAAAGCCCCTGCGGTGAGGCAGGCCCTTTGTAGAGGCATCAAATGAAGAGCCAGAATGGGTCCTTTTGAAATCCGCCCAGGGCATAGGTTACTTGACACACAGACACAAATGTCTGCATATAAATCTGCTAGGGTTTACATACTGAAGCATATACACTCCCACAGTCAAAATGCACTTGATGGTGTGAAACTTGATGGTACCCACTCTAAGCACACCAGAGCCGGATGTGAAATTTAAGAGGATTTATTTTTTTTACAGTCTAAGAAAAGAAAAAAAGAAAAGGTTTTGAGTGACAGGGTGACCTCAGGGTGCTGCTGCTTGTTTTTCATGGTCTGCGGTTTAAAAGGAGCTTAAAATGACTATTTATTGTTAGCATGCTTGGTATTCTGTAATTGATTACATAGTGTTCCTGTTTATGAGAATAACAGATTAAAATATCCTCCAAAGCCATGATAATTACAGCGTGAAATAGAATCGTTGGGGTGAGTCAGGATTTCTAAGAAGTGGCTGTACTGCAGCTTGTTTGAAACCAGTAGTAAGACTGGCCCAACTGTAGACGCCAGTGAGTCAAAAATATAATCTTGTCAGAAGGGATGATATGTGATCTAGCGTCAGTAACTTTTAGATTTTTTCACCTAGCTAAGACTGATGTAGTCCTGCAGTAAATGCTGCCTTCATGTTTAGGTTTTGTTTCAACTACATGATCAGTTTGGAGGACTGTATTGCATTATACATATAGAATATACATATAGAACAATAGAAACACACACACACACACACACACACACACACACACACACACACACACACACACACACCCCCATACATAACACAAAACATTTCAACTTAACCACCGACCACCACAATGCTGAATCAACACCTCTTTAACACAGTTTCAATACAAACATTGTAACCCTCATGAAGGTAGGATTGATGTAGCAGACTACATTAGTCTTAGCTAGGTGTTCCTAATAAACTGACAGTGTCTATATCATGTGACAAAATGACATGGGCAAAGCTCATGGCAGATCACAAGGTCTAAAGTGTTGTGTTTAGTATGTATCATGCTGTGCAGACTGCTCAAAATTAAGTGGCAATTAAAGCTTGAGGGGAAAAAAAGAGAAGAATGACAATTTAGTAAATGTGCCAACAAAGGATTTTCTATTCTTATAAGTCTGAGGTTCATCAGGGTTGAGTACTGGTTGGTCTGGTCACCCTGACATTGTCTGTAAAAACTGCTGCCTCATGTTCTCTCTCACAATTAGGGTTCCTACTAAAAGGTCCCAGGAGGAGCTGGCAGGAGAGGCTGTGCTTCACTTAGATCATGTTCCCCTTGATATTCATACCCACAATCTTTCTTTCTCTCTATCTTTCTCTCTCTCTATCGTTGTCTGTCTCTCTCCATCAGCAAATCCTTAAAAAGCTTCAATTAAAATTACTTCAAAGTGTTAAAATCCTTTAAATAAAGCAAACAGGCATCTTTACCCCCCCCCCCCCCCCACACACACACACACACACACACACACACATTGTAGAGATGCTTTAATTAAAAGTCTTTGAAAGCTGCTTCATGCCATCAGAAAGTGGTGTTGATGGATTCTGTAGCAGTGCTGGAAATGAAATGAGGCAAATGTTATAAATTGCTCTGTTGTAAAATATGAACGACGCCAGCGTTATTTTCTGAAACCACATCTCATATTCCATATTACTTGTATATGCAGCTTTTGGTTTTCCAGTTTGGATAAGTTCTTAATTTCACTTCCAGTTGTAATGTAGGAAGTCTTACAGCTGCCTTTTTGAAATCTGTCTTCTTTCTAATCCTCTTTTCCTTTTTCGGCCTTCTTGCATGTTTATCTTTTGTTGTTTTATCCTCATCTTTCTTCACTTGCTCTGTTTTGCGTCTCTCCCTCACCTCTCTGTCTGTCTTGCTTTTCATTCTTTTCTGTCACTTGCGCTTTTCCTTCATACTACAAACCTTTATTTAAATCTTCTTTTAATGTCATTATTTCATGTTTTCTGTCAGTGTCTGCCCCCCCCCTCCCTTTCTCCTCTATTGTTCTTTTGCATTTCTCACCTCTCTCTCTAACCCCTTTCCCCTCTACAGATGATGTGACCCTCACATTACACATCATGAATTATTGAGGTGAAACCCAGCACTGTCCTGCTGCCCAACAAATCACAGGACTTCTCTCCCCTCTCTGTTTCCTCTCCTCTTACCCTCTCTCCGCTCTTTATTGATGTTTTTGTTCTTTAATTTCAACCTCTGGCTGCAGATCGGATCACGGGTTTCTGAGGGTAACATGAGATTTAGTTTTTGTCCTCTCTTTTCGAGTTAATCCTAAGGAATTATAGCCACTGTAACCCAGCGGCACATGCCTCTCTGGTTACAGCAGGTGGGCGAATGTTTGAAGACAGATTAACTGCACGTACACACACACACACACACACACACACACAAAGCAGTTGCAATACCTTGCTGGACTAGAGCCCAGTTAGACTTGTGGTTTGATGGTTTTGGCAGCATGTTATTGCATACAGTACATTAGTTCAGTTAAACCAGTGGAAGGATTATAAATGTATGTCAAACAAATGAATGGAGAGAGAGTGGAGCCTCTTTCTCTACCGGTTCATGTTCTTTTTCATCAGATTCTGGAAAATATGTTCTGAGGAGACAGGAACTTGGCAAGTAAAAGAGGTTAACGGAAGCATGAAACATCAGATGTGGTGGACAAAATGAATGAACAGAGGAAAAGAGGAGAGGGAGGAAAGCGCGGTCAGATCCTGAAAGACTGACGAGAGCGTTCTTCTGCAAATAAAAAAAGATGGAGTGAGCTCTGTGTCCCGTTAGCCTGTTTAACCCTCTGGCAGAGTGAAAATAAACACACACTCGCTCACACGCAACTGAACCAGGTTGCAGCAAATCACCTGCTCTGGTGTGATGAGATCTGACGGCAGCTAGCTCGATAACAAGGCTCCATTTACTGTGTAAAGAGATGCCAGAGCGATAGATTGGAAATGGATACACGGCCCGCCAGACTATAGTAAACACTCATGATGACATGGAGACAATATATGGAGACAAACACACACCTGAGAAAGTCCTGGTGTGAAAACCTTGTTTCTCAGAAGTCGTTCCCTGGAGCAGTGTGTGTTGTGTCGATTGCAGGAAAAACATGTTGATCAAATGAGCACTGGACCATTTGTAGCCTTGCTCATGGTGAGCTGGTGTGTCCAACCGCTGTGTCTCTCAATTACATTTGAGCCCGTTTTCAAGGGATTTACTGTGTGTGTTTGTGTGTGTGTGTGTGTGTGTGTGTGTGTGTGTGTGTGTGTGTGTGTGTTTGTGTGTCTGTCCAATCAATAAGCCTCAAGGCCGTCCATCTCTGAGTCATCTGTAGTTCTCAGAAGCTGATGACAAGGTGCTCGGAACACACACTAAACGTACAGACGCATACACACCATCTTTACGGGAAAACCAAATACCAATCCTCAGTCAAGAGGCTTTGACTTCACACACAATTAAACTTGGCACTCTCCATTGTAAAGCATGATTTCTCTTTATTGCAATTTGTCTCTTGTTTTTTGTTACTTTGGCTATTTCTGTCTGTTATGACAGTGTTGCCCTTGTCAAATTAATTGCTGAGATACGGGAACGTGGCAACACAAATTCAGACTGGGAAAGAAAAACTTAGAAAGACACATATCTGAAACAAATTGTTTTGGACTGATTATCTGAACCACATTATTTAGAGATCAAACTGAAAGGGAGCAATCTGAAGTGTTTGAAATCATCCCTCCTAGTATGTGGGCACAAACACATTAAGAACAGGGGGTCAGAAGTTGGGCCGCCAATTTTGATGAATGTTGACAATAATACTTGATTTTTGAGAGAGAGTTCGATAAATTCAATAATGATAATGAATAATGGAGAAAAAAAAGTCTACAACCATGTTAGCGCATCTGTGAGGGTGCTGTCCCTACCACGCTGATGTTGAGTGGGTATAATGTTCACCATCTCAGCTTAGTGTGATAGCATGTTAACATGAATTAATAAGCGCCAGGCACAAAGTGCGGCTGAGGTTAACAGGGATGTCATTAGTTTAGCAGGCACAGTTCATTCTGAGGGGGAACATGATGAATGTCTTTACCAAATTTCATGACAATCCCTCCAGCTCATTGAGACTTTTCCCTCAAAACCACAAATGTGAACGTCATGGTAGAGCTGGAGGAAAAGTTAGAATTTCATGGCGGTTCCTCCGATAGCTGTTGAGAGATTTCAGTCAAAAGTGGTGGACCAACAGACTGACATTAAAATACCCCGGAGCCATGCTGCTATAACATGACTAAAAATTTTGACAGTCTGTCTGAAGATTGGCTGTTTTATATCTTTCACTGACAGCTGCTCTGTAGCTTCAGTCAGTGTTTAGAGGGATGATAATTTGCCTTCAGAAGATGACTGATATGCTTTTGTCTGACAACTGAATGAATCACATAATCACACATTCTCTGCTTATGTATAATAAGGCTCGTATTTGTAAAACACATTCTTATTCCAAAACGGAATACAGTGCTGCTGATATTCTTTAAACTGTGTTTGTTTCGGCAGTTAGCCTATGAAGTATAACGTGTGCAGGACTGTGCTCGTGTAGATGTGTAGCTGTCTCAGTGTTTCTCAGAGGGGAGAGGAAGAGAAGGAAGGAGACAGAGAGATATACAGCTGAAAGTCACTGAAGTGTCTAAGAAAGTATTTAACATACGTTACAAAACCACCATAATCTTCAATGAACATACTCGTTCATATTTCACTGGTGAAATCCAAAAGCAGAGGGGTGGAGTGAGTCATTTTTGTTGAGTTGTGACAAACGTGACTTGAGTATGACACGCGCTTTGGAAAGAAAGATGCATCCACATCTCGAGCTATTGATGCAGCGGCTGCCATGGCAACGAGCCCTTGAATAAAGGCTATGTGGATTATTATGGGGTGACTCACACATAGCGCCAGGCCAGTCTCATTACTATCTTTAAATTAAAACCTGCTCATCAAACACACACATGTATACAGACACTCGCACAGTGCTGCAGACATGCACACAAAAACAATTTTGGTCAGTGTTTGTGTGCACACATTTCATCACTCACTGTTCTGCCTGTGCTCATGCAGACATGCTGTATATATCAACACTGACTCCTTTCTGCTCAATAGTTGTCCCCCAGGAATTAGTCTGAGCCTGTCTTTATGCATTATGGATTGAGATTAAATATGTAAACAGGATTCTCCACCAGGAACTAGGATGATCCAAGCTTTCTAGACAGGCTGGGAAAATAAATTATTGATGCCTTCCTCAGTTGGTTTTTTGGGGATATCTATGCTGCATTCTCCACTTGATAACTGTGGAGTGGTGGGTTTCATTAGACCCCCTGCGAGCGCACAGAAGTGGCTTTAGCCAGCTCCCTCCTGTGTGGTTTGGAAGGACTGTGATTTGAATGTTTTTCCACCATGGGACCTCCAACTGGCTTATCTTAGAAAGCCACAGGGTTGAGGTCAATCAGGCTGCCTGTTCCTCCGTCAGATATCATGCTTTTTTCCCCCGTGCCCTCTCAGGAGTCCTCTGCACAGGGACAGAAACCAGGGAGGAGCCACCCAGGATTACAGGCTCAATTTTGTAGTATGTGTGTGTTCGCATGAAAGAGGAGCGAGTGCTGCTGAGCTTGTTGCTATGCGTACAAACCAGGGTGCAGACGGTTCAGTTTGTTTTGAGTATTTCACTTGTGTTTTTTTTTTTTTTTAGCTAATGAAAAAAAGAGAAAATGACGGTTGTAGTTACTTGTGTCTCTTAGAACCTCACTTCTACGCCTCAATAGAAACAAGATGTCAAAAATGCTCTTTCTCACTCTTTTCACTCACTGTCCGTCCCTCCTCTGATCTCTCCCTTTCCCTCCTCTTTTTATTCTCCCGGCATCACTCACCCCCTGTTTCACACCCTCTTCTTTTAAGAGACAACACCAGCAACTTGAGGTCACACTTTCATAAAGTTTTGGGGAGTTTCAGGACGGAAATGGAAAAACTTGTAATAAAACGAGCCTCCCCTCCCAGTAAGCACCTACATGTTTCAAACTCCACTTTGTAGCACAATTTTGTTAACGGTACTCTGTGGGATTTTTTTCACTGCTCCTAGTTTTTACAAGCGGGTTGCAGTTTATTTTGTATCATGCACAACGATGCAAATGTGCAAGCAGATGCACATTCCTGCCAATGTTAAATATTGGTTTTCCAAATGTCTTATGACCCGAGGATACACACAGTGTGACGAACAGTGATACAAACCAGAGAGCTAATTTATAGTCTCCAAACCGAAGCCTTAAATACCCAGGTGATGTCACTTGAGTCATTTTCTCAGATTTGATTAAATCATATAGAAGAACAGAATATTATACATTATTATGATTATCATCCTTATTTATATTGTTATTATGCAAATGTTTCAGTGGATGTTTTGTGCCCCTGTGATGAGTAAACTGACCTTCATGTGTAAAATCAGTGGAATGCCCCTTTAATCCAGTGACATTGAACAGAGGGAAATTCTCTGGACTAGTAACCTGCTCAAACTGCCCTGCTGAGTCTTGTATGCTCACTTGCCTTTGTGGCTAAAGTGCTACTACATCTGTGCCTGCGCTTCAGTGAATGAGAGAGTGCTGTTTTATCTCCCAAACAGCAGGAATTCCTGCACTTTGATCACAGTGAAAATGTCCAAATGCACTTGGAAGCAGAACTACTTGTTTCTTGAAGTAGTAGTAAGATGTTGCTGTGCAGTTTGTGTCTGTCTCTGCTGCGTTTAAATGACTGAACTGAGGCTAGCTCCCAGTGAAATACAGTGGATCTTTAAAGACATTGTACCTTTTCACCTCTCTCACGTCCTAACGCTCTGTGTGTCAACAACTACAAATTAAACTGGCCTACCGCCGGAAAAAATGATCTCGGTGAACGAATGAAAAATCTGTTTGTCTGCTTTATTTTGTATAAGTGGGTGTAAGAAACTGAATGGTGTATTTGAATATGATTTTCAGCACCAGTGTCTGCAGAAATTTGCATGAAGAGCTCAGTTTTTAAGGTCAACTGTCCCACAAACAGGACAGTGTGTTCTATTATAGGTTTCTATATTAGCACTGATGATAGAAGGGTGTGACTTATAGCTGGGTAGCCTGACCTCAGATGATTGAGGGGTGTGATGGTATAAGAAGCCAGAGTCTGTGCTGTATGTATATGTGCATGAATAACTGTAAACTGGACGGTTAGTTAGTAGGTCAGTTGACTCATTTCCTCTGAACCTTAAATGTTGTATGAAAGTGAATTATTTGCTTTGAGTTGTTAAATACTTTCTACATGAGATGTGAAGTTAACACTTGCTTATGAGCAGTGCTGTGTCATCCCCCATTTTTTTCAGCACTACAGCAAAGAGTATTTTTTGGATTTAGAAGAAAGCTAATGAACGCAAACATCATCTCAAATAACTAGACCTAGTTCTTAACTAATGTGTTTTTTCCTCTCTTTTTATCCCCATCCTCCTCTGTTTTCTTCCTTCATTTCTCTGCCCATCCTCTCCTTCTCTTCTCTCTTGTCCTGCAGGTTTGGATGACCTTCTTCCAGTAGTAGTGACGGAGGTGTGAGGCAGCGAGACCCGCACCAAACCCCCCGGCAGCCATGCCGCCGCCGGCAGACATCGTCAAGGTGGCCATTGAGTGGCCGGGGGCTTTCCCCAAGCTCATGGAGATAGACCAGGTGGGTGCCTATGGACGAACAAAGACGCTGCGTTATTATCAAAACACACTACTTGCCCTTCAATTGGTGCCTGATATATTCATTGTTCCTAACTATTATACTAATTAGCCCTAAAGGAAGTGCCTTAATTAAAGATGTTTAACAGCCAACACAGCCACAGCTTGACATAATTTTAAAGACATTTCACTGAATGTGATGTGATGCCCCTGTAATTAATGGCGTCAATCTTGTACCATAAATGTGTCTGAAATCAAACAAGCCACATTATCCCAGGTACTGTCAGAAAAATAAAAATGTATGAAACAAAATTTCCAAGTGTTTAAGGAAAGTAGTTAAGAAACATTATTAAATGGTGGATCAGTCATGTTTGGCTGATACATGATCGTGGCAGAAATCAAATCAGCGTACAGGGTTGGGTTTCAGTAACTGGGGTCATGCTTCACATTTTGACCCACCCCAAAATGTTGCTTTTGTAATTTTCACTGGTTAAAATGACAAAGGCAGAAGATTATATCTATAAGATTATAGATTATATTCAGTTCAGATAGATCTGAACTGAATCTCTGAGTTCCATTCATTTATAAATGTCGACTGCTAAACAGAATTAGATTAGAGAAGGAATTCAGGGTTGGATTTGGATTTGAGAAAATGCCATCAAACCACCTCAGTGCATCACAACAAATTCCAGTGATTTGCATCATATAGTGGATGAAATTCAAGATCAAAATGCTTAGATGTTCTATTGAACATCTCAAGCATTTGGATTCGATTTTGACTATTAAGATCTTAGATGGGACTGATTACTTTTCTGGTGTTATTTATTGTCGTGTTGATTGCCTGATTAGTGGCCAGATGAGTGCCAGAACACGGCTCAAATAGGAATCCACAGGTGTCTGCCATACTGCGTGTCAGTGGACGCCAATAATTAGCTAAAACAACGACTACCTTGTGTGTGTGTGTGTGTGTGTGTGTGTGTGTGTGTGGGGGGGGGGGGGACGTGACTGTGACTGTTGCGTTGTTTGATTACACATCCAGATTGTAAAATGGCCTGTTCTCTCTTTCTCTGTGTGTGTGTGTGTGTGACTCACGGATGGGCTAATGATTGTACAAGCTATGAGTCACCGTGGCAACTGGAGCCATGATTGCCCTTCTCAATGGCTGAGCCACTGAATGAAACATTGAACTACAGAGAACATGTGCTTCTGGGTTTGCCGCAAGGTGCTTTAAGCACTTAAGTGAAGATTTAGGGATGTAGTTTTTGTATTTAATGACCCCTTATCAGCAGTGCTCCTGCAGTCTCAATTGTAAAATGTCTTTAGCTCCTCTTTGGTCTTTCTCTCATCTTCACTTCTTTAAACCCCCCTGTGCTCCTTCCCTTCCTCCGCTTTTCTCTTATTCTCTTATCTCTCCCTGTCATCTCTCTCTTGTCTTCCTCCTATCTGTTGCCTCCTCCTCCTTTTCCTTCTTTGCTTTCTCCCTCGTTCGTTCCCCCTCTCACTCCTCCTCCCTGTCTTTTGTTGTAACTGTGAAACTTGCGTTGTGCCTCCTCCTCTCTTGTCCTCCACCGCCAACCCCCACCTCTTCGTCCTCCCTCTGCATCTCCTCTGTACAATAGGCCCTGCAGCAGCATATGGCTGTCTGAGTCATGCGATGGGGAGTGGGCTTCAGCTGCTCGAGCTGTCTTGAGACCCAGAGAATGCGTGTGCGTCTGTGTGAATGTGAATTTGTGTGTGTGCGTGTGTTTTTTTTGTTTTGTTTGTTTGTTTAGGTGGGTACAACTCTGCATAAGTGAAATTGTGTGTGGGTGTGTTTGTGTGGCAACATGCATACTTGTTACTATTCATGCATGTGTGTGTGCTCAATGTGCTGACAGCTCTGCGTGTGTGTGTGTGTGTGTGTGTACTTGTGCCCATTTGTATGGGGATTCATTCGTGCATCTCTGATTGCTGTTTGTGCTTGTGTGTGTGTTCCTGTGCCATGTTAGTTTGAGTGTGTTTAGGTACGGCTGTTTCTGTCTGTGTTTATGTGTGTCTGCAGAGATCACACAGTGATTTCTGTCTTTCCAAAAATTTTCAACATCCCTATAGACACAAAGGTCCAACATTTGTGTAGGGACGCTAGGGAATTGGTTATTGTCAGAAGTGCAATAGAGAAACAGTGGGAGGACAAGGTGATGGGGTTTCTGTTTGCTGGTAGAAAAAAAAAAAGATTTGAAAATGAGCATGAGAATTTCAGCAGCAACAAACAGAAGAATTTAAGTCAAACTGAAGGGAAACAATGTGTAAAGGCCTGTTGTGAGGAAGCAGTTTTCTATGGAATTATAAAGCTATGTTATAGAGGTATATGTGGTATATGACTGAATACACATTTAACCCCTGTAAAGATGTGTAGACAATTCTGATGGTTATAGAAATATCTTTGTCATATCTGACAATGTTCTATGACCAACACAAACCAAAACAAAACATTGTTTCACCACTTGGAGCAGCGGAAACAAGCTGCAAATAAAACACTGATATACGTATTGCCACCTTTTGAGTTGATATAGCAAACTTGTTAGCAAACAGCGGCTTAATTACACATCCAGCAAATAAGAGCAACATCATCATTCATTAGGAGTCACTTGTCTGGCTGCCTGATATTAGTCCAACATTCACCCTGCATAGCTCTGTTTTGGTCTTCACCAGCTCCTGATGGAATTGTCTGTCTTCAGTTTGTAGCTGGGCAGTAGTGTTAGTAGTAGTGTACAGTGGGTTTATCAGAGCTTTTTCACTGAAAACATCTGCCTGCTGCAGCCAGAAACAAGCAAGAGCCAACCAAAGTGTTTTTTGATAACTTTTATTCGTAATGTTTCTTTTCTTTCCATTTTTCTCTCCTTATAAATCGAGATTGTCCATTTCCTATAATTAACGCTGAGGATGATCACATGTAACAAATTAGTCGTAGACATGTTTCACTGCTGCAGTTGAATGTGATCGTTGCTGTAAACCAGACAGAGATAAAATGCATTTGACAATAAGAGCCCCAATATAAGAATGAATGAATTCATTTTTTTAATTGCCTCTTAGCGATGTTTTTCCATGCATACCTAATGACTCTGTAAGAGCAGTAAAATTAAAACGTTAAATAAGTAGAAAAATATCCAATAAATGCATCTTTGAATGTAATAATGGTTTAAAATGTCTGTAATAGACGTGCAGACATTGTTCCTGTCAGTCATGGGTCCTAGGTGGTGAAATCTGCTTGTGATCGAATGACCTTGGAAAGAAAGAGATGAAGTGCTGTTATCCTCCCAGTTAAAAGGGAGATTTTTGAGCTGAAAAGCTGACAGATGGTATAGACTCACAAAACCTTTTATGCCAATGCACAAGGTGAAAACCTCTCATATTGTACTCATCACTAGACTGTTGTTTTTTGTCAAATTAAATGTAACATTTTCTCAATTCCCAAAGGAAAAAACAGCACTTGAAATCTCAACTGGGGTACTTAATGGAGTACCTGATCTGTACCTGTTGGATAATGCACTAATATAAGCACAGATCAAGCAAGAACTCAAAATAACAATGCATAAATCTAGTCACATTAAATCAACTTACCATGAGAAAAAGATCCAATGTTTGCACTGGTGATACAGAAGCAAGACGTTTAAAGACTTTTCAGAAAATGTATTTAACTTATCTTTACCACTTTTCCTTATATTTAGATCAAAGTGAGCTTATTACTAACGACGCCAGAATTAAACGGAGCAGCAGGAAGTGTTCTGAGAAATAAGTTATACAACACTTTACACATGTGGTAAAAGATTATTACCTTTTTTGTCATTTAAATGTCCACACATTTAAATGTATTTATTTTATTATTAATACATGTCCACACTGGAAAAAGCTTTGATCGTGTTCGAGAGAAGGAATCGCTCGAAGAAATGCACAAGTTTTTGCTTTTAAGACATTGCAGACTTTTGGATGTTTATTTATGTGTGTGTGTGTGTGTGTGTGTTCACTGTAGTCTGGCAGCATACTGTAAGTCCCAAAGAACCAGAGGATGACAGCAGTGGCGAACTAGCAGATATTAAGTACATACTGACTGGCACTGTGCACACACAGTGTACACACACCCCTTAAACCCCCCACCCCCCACCCCCCATGTTCTTTATTTCCCCCCGGTCCCTCTGTCTCTCTGTTCAACAACCACTCTCCTGCTTTCTCTCACTATTATCATCCATTCTCCCTCTTCCCGTGTTAGCTGTTGTTTTTCCTTCATCTTATCCAATTTGCTTATTTTTCACTGTTTTATCCTCTGTTCCCTCTTTTGTTCATGTAACAGCTCACCCTCTTCTTTTGTCACGTCCCTATTTTTCTTTCCCCGTCATATATCCCCAACATCCTGCCACCATTATCTTCTCTCTGTAAATCTTCATCACTACAGCTTGTGCTCTTCGAAGCAGCCTCTCTCACTGCAGAGAAGCAGCAATACGATCATATCCTCCACAATGCTCAGTGAGTTGTATGTAGATGCTCATGAAATTACCATATGCCTATGCTAGAGTGCATGACTGTAACTGTGTGCATTTTCTGCACATGCTCATGCGTGTGTGCTTTGAAAAGATTAAGCTTGGCACAGTGGGGGTCTTGGCTCCAAACAGGGACTGCTGGGACTCCTGGGCCAGTAGATGGAGCAGCACTAGTGAAAGTGCTGTATTCAGATCTTTTACTTGAGCAAAAGTAACTATACTTCTGTCTGTGTAAGTCCGAGGGGATGCTTGCTGGAATCGGAGCAGAGGTCAAGATATCTTGACTTTTGGTCTCTATACAGCTCTAGCTCCAAAAATGCATTATGCATTTTGAGTCCCAATTTGCAACTTGATACACCTTTGTTGGATCCTCCCTGCCTAATGGCTAAAAGCTCCCTTCTGTCAAACCCCACACAGTCAGTTTGCAATGCAGACTTTCTCTTAAGCACTTTAAGTCTCCTTTCAAACATTGGGAAGCTTCCTCCAGAGCCACAGAAGACATTTCCCAACTGTTCAACAGGCTGAATATTCTTTGCGATGAGTAAACTGAACTTCATGTGTAAAATAGCTGGAGTGCCCCTTTAATAAAAACTCACACACAAATACAAATACAGTACAAGTAAATATCCAGTATTCACAGAAGTGTTACCAGACAGAAATCACTTAAGTATATATAGTAATGGTGTGTAATGTTATTATATCAGGTCAGATTGTTGATGCATTAACATACCAACAGCATTTTTATTGTTGTAGCCAGTCAAGGTGAAGCAAATCTGAACAAATGTCTGTTGAGTTTGGGAGCGCTTGTAATTGCATGTCAGTACTTTTGAGAAATAACCAAGATGTGTTTGTAGCATTAAGTATTGAAAAATATCAAGCATCAAACTTTGGCATTTAATTGCCAGATTGGTTCATCTGCTTATTCTTTGATCAGACATTTTCTGATCGAACATTTTTAACCTTAGATGATACTTTATTTAGTTTCTTTATTTAACTCTGAGGCATTGAGAGGTTTCACATATATTGGTCAATGAAAAAAGTAAAATATTATATTTAAAATGGTCTAGTAACATTACAATAACCAACCCTACTGTTAGGTGTAAGCAGTCAAAAAGCATCATATCTCATAAACTGATCATATGTTTTATATGTAATTATATAATAATTATATATAATAATAAAAAAAAGTATAAGTAGTACTAGAACAAAATAGAAATACTCCAATAAAATGAAAGTGCCCCTAATATAAACTTACTGTAAGTACAGTACTAGAGTGAAGGTACTTCACTCAATAGCGTTCCACCAGTTTGGAGCAGAATACCACTGTTGTTGATCTAGAAGAGTTTCACATATAATGAATGAATGAAATTGTGCAGCAGACATGATTCCCACATCAGCAGTTGGACAGTTAGATAAATACAGGGTCCTGAAGAACAGCCTCTCTTTGTGCCAGACCTGTAATATAAAATAATTGCAGCCCACTCTGAGCTGACTGTTGTTTTAGGAACTCAAGCTTGGGCTGTGGACTAAATGTAGTTTTGCCTTTCTCCACAGAAAAAGCCTCTCTCAGCCATCATTAAAGAAGTGTGTGAGGGGTAAGTTGACATTTGCTTTTCTCACTGTGTGTGTGTATGTGTGCATAAATGCATGCCTTTGGACTTGAAAATAATTCTCCAAGGGCTTCCTGCAAAAGCCCTCTGCCTCTGTCTCCATGCTTGAATCATATTAACTGTATTTTAGAGAAGATGTTTCCACTTTTTATACCAATTATGGAATGTTTTCCTCTCCATCCAATGGCTTTTAGGTGGTCCTTGGGGAACCATGAAAACTTTGCTCTGCAGATTGCCGACCCAACAAATTTTTACATCACAGAAAAGGTTTGGTTATCTGTTTTTAACTGCAGGTAGAAGTATCCAAGTTAAAAATATACCTCATAAACTGACTAACTTCTGCTTTTATCTTGGTGATCCTCCACAGAATCGCAATGACATTAAGAACGGCTCAATACTTCGCTTGACCACCTCTCCTGTAAGTTTTGTTTCTTTGATTTTTCGTTTTTTTCTTTTTTAGTATGTAAGAAAATTTACTTAGTGTGAATACACAGACACATTTCAATTTTCTGAATCTCTGTATGTATCTGTCTTTTGCTTCTCCTCTGTCCTACTTCCCCTCCAGTACCAGACAGCAGTCCAGCTTCATGAGCGTATCCAGTCATCCAGCATGGATGCCAAACTGGAAGCTCTGAAGGACCTGGCCAACGCATCCCGGGACATCACATTTGCCCAGGAGTTCATCAACCTGGACGGCATCTCCCTGCTCACTCAGATGGTGGAGAGTGGCACTGAGTAAGTTAATTGTCCGTCCCCTCTCCTCTGCGGTTTTTTCCTCACCTCGGACAATTTCTTGCCTGATGTGACAAACCGGGGATTTGTTAGAGGGCTCCATCTTAACCCGACTTAAGTCTGTTGTGGCTTTAAGTAATCAGGTTGAGCTTTAAACACATTCCACTGACACGGACCTGAAGGCAGTGAGATTCCAGGGCGTCTTTGGAGTTGCACTGTGCATTCTGACTGGTTATGTTCAAAGCAGCTGACTGATGTGCTCATTCAGTAACGCACCTGAAATCATTGTATTAATCTTGATTTATGCTTTTGCATCAGGTGTTGAAGCTGGCTGTCTGTACTGGACTTTGTAGTTCAGCATGCTGTTGGATTTCATGGCACCACTGCAACATAAAGTTAAGATAAATGTGTTATCAGGCCGTGTTGCAAAGTTCATTATTTATAGTGTCTTCAGTAATCGTGTTTACGTTCTTACATTCATCTTGTAATAGTGGAACATTTGTTCTATCTCGCTACTAAAACGAAAAATGCTGCCCTGCAGTCATTAATTAGGCTGTAATCTGATTACAGTTTTTCTCTACCTTGATAATAGTGTGACAGCGGTTTGCAGTGTCTTTGTTCAAAATATGCCTTGTGCTCTGATTAGGAGAAAATTCTTTAACTCGCTTGTTGTCGTCTTCCTTATGAAAATCATCTACTAGCAGCAGAAATATGTGGGATAAAACACTAGCAGCCTGACCTTAGTAAATATATAAATTACATATCTGTGTCTGCACAGTCTACATTAGTTACACTGGCGTCTACGCCACAGCTAGGGTCGCTATTTGTGTAGGAGCTGCAGCAAAGCTGTGACCCCCTAACGCACTCTAAAGGTGTCATCCAAGTGTGTTACTGCTGAAAAGAGAAGACTTAGCTTTTATTATGTATGTAGTACATGCCCAGGGGCTCCTCTTTGTCTTTGTTGACCATGAGAGTGATATTACACTCAACTGAGAGGAGAGCGCTGCACTGGCTTCTGTCTGTTCAGCACATCCAAAAACTGTCTGTGTGTGTGTGTGTGTGTGTGTGTGTGTGTGTGTGTGTGTGTGTGTGTGTGTGTGTGTGTGTGTGTGTGTGTGTGTGTGTGTGTGTATGTTGAGGGAGGTTGGAGGCCCCTTGAGACTGTCTCAACTGAAGGTTAAAGCGAGGGCATTTTTCGCTGAGGTGGAATTTCTCAGCCCTGATGCCAGGGGGAAGTGTGTGCGTGTGAGTGTGTATGCATGCGCATGCATGTGCATGGGCATGCCAGTAGCAGACTGTGTGAGTGCAAGGTGCTGGCCAACCAGAGTCAAAACCCAGAGTTACAGTCGGAGTGAAAACACGCACAAACACACACACATGCACACAAGCTGGCATACGATGCAAACTGGCAGGGAGGGCAGCAGCAGCCAACCATCCGGGACGCTCTTGTTTTCTGCCTCATGCAGTTCTCATTATTCATCCCTTTTTCCCAGTGAGAGAAAAGATGGATGAAGAGTTGTTTACTTGCATGAGAAGTTTGCTCCAAAGACACACTCATGGTGTTAACACACAGACACACACACACACACAAGGTCAAATGTGCTTTTACTACAGCGCAGCAAAAAGCCAAACACTGCAAGATACAACCGCACACTGACAGACACTCTACTGTTTGTGAAATTGATCAATAACTTCTTAAAGTGTATGCCCTCTCTTTTGGTGATCCTGATTGTTTTGTAGGTACAGAGAGGTTCACATCCCAGTCAGGTATTTAATATCTTTTCCTCCGCAGAAACCACTTAATGATCTCCTGTTTCTGCTTATTAGACAGCAGCGCCTCTAGCATTACACTCACTTCCAAAATTTGACAGAAAATCATTGAAGCCTTTTCTCTTCTTTTTTCTTTTTTTTGCATGTAATGTTCAAATTAGCAAATATTTGACCCTGTTTGATCTTACTGCAAGGAGCCATCTCAGCTGCACCGACGCTGACTCCACTCAGCTCCTGGCTCTTTTCATTAAATATGTTTTTATGTAAATTACCATCCCATCGGTTATTCAGGACTGGAGAGTTTAAAAGTGGCCTGTGTCTGTGCCTCTCTCTGTGTGTGTGTGTGTGTGTGTGTGTGTGTGTGTGTGTGTGTGTGTGTGTGTGTGTGTGTGTGTGTGTGTGTGTGTGTCAGTCACAGAGAGCAAGTGGTTCTGCTGCATTTTCATCTCAACAGAAGGATCTTATGAAACACATACAGGCACATAGGTATCAGTGTCTGACACACACACACAAACACACACACACTTATGAGTGTGCCTGACAGCCAATTTGGTAAACTGTAATTATTCAAGAGGCTCAATGCAGGCAATGCATCTGCCATAGATGTTGCACTGTGTTCATACGGAAATCAGCTGGTCGGCTGCTGCTTTTGCCCACAGGAGCTCCACAAATCGGCAGACATCGCTCTCTACTGACTGAAACATGGAACAACAGATTCCTAATGTAGTTCAGAATGTGCAGTGCAACTTCAGATGGATTATTAAGATTGTTTTTATTTTAAAAAGGATGGGAAGAGGGATTTAATGTGTTGTTTTAAAAGGTAAGTTCACCCAAATTTAAAAAAAAAAAGCACATTTTCTCACTGACGTCCTTGTGATAACAAACCATGCAGCCAGTTTGGTTGTATTTGCCAAGGTTTTGAGATATCAATCTCTGGGACTTGTGCTGTCACGTGAAATACAAAGGAAGGAAGTTATACACCGTCAATCGTTTTCATCAGAGCTACTTTCCACTGAAGAAATAGTCCCAGTGGAAACTGTTCAGTGTGTTCTGTTTGATGGTCTTCAGCTGAGCTTTTTTTTCCCTTTGTTAATCCCATGGTGTCTTCATTTGCGTGTAATTTAACTGCTGCAGCATTTTATTCATAATATGTGCAGCCATATTATAATGTGCAGAAAGCAGCAGAGATCTGAGGTTAAAGTTCAAGCAAGGAAACACTGCATCTGTCCCAAACTTGTTTTTTCTTCTTGTTAAATGAAAGTGTTGTTTGATCATTTCTGTGTGTTGACGTCTCTACCTGAGCTTGCTGTGTGTAAGTACGGTTTGCAGCAAATTGCTTTTTCAACTGTTTCTGCTTGGCATGCTTTCAGTGTCTGAGTAGACCGACTGGTTAAAGGTGTTTATTTTAAGTCAATCAATGAAATATTGACATTTAATTCCACTTTGCTTGTGTCTCATTTGTACAATAAGAAATGTGTTTTTATGATGTGTCATAGACTGGACCTCCTCTCTTTCGAAGATTGTTTTTCATATTAACTTGTCACCCGATCGTGATGTGTGTTGTTCCCCTCTCTGTGCTGGCTGAGACTTTAAGGTTTGGTTGTTTGTTTCCCACCTGTGACACCAAAGTTTCTCAAATCTTTGCAGGCGCTATCAGAAACTACAGAAGATTATGAAGCCCTGGTAAGCCCCTCCCCTTCCCCCTCCCCCCGGTCGGGTAACGTCATTGGCTCTGTGCTCTTCCTAACCTGCTGGCCGAGTCTGCATGATTAAGACTCTGGCCCCAGTGCCTTATGGGAAATATATACGTATATGTACTATATGTATTAACACAGCCGCTCACAGGCTACCATTTCAAAATCACTTTTTTTGCATGTGGTTTTGGGCAACAGAATCAAACAACATCCTAATTGTACGACACAAACAGAAAGAAGACCAAGATTTATTTTTAAAAATCTACTAAATCAAGAAAAACCTATTGACGTCTATGAATTGCTGTTTTTGCAATTAAAAGTTTAGTACAGCTGCATGTATCATTACTTCCAGTACGAGTCAATATTTAGCCTGAAATAAATCTTGGTCTTCTTTACAAATCGGTGCTGCTCAGGGTGAGGGGATTTTCCGCTGGCTCACTGTGAGCCAGTTTTCTCTCTTCAACATTATGAACTGATAGCCTCTATCACCACAGGAACATCATCAATCCATCAACGAGGTTTCTTTACTCTATCTGCCTTAAACAATCTTTCCACTAATGTCAGCATTCTGCTATTCCATGTAGCATCAAGTAGCTAACCAGAGTATGTCCCCTAATGCCCAGTGCCATCTGCAAAAGCCTCTTCGTCCTTCAGCTGTGGGTTACTAATTGTCCATTTAACTGTTTGTCAATCACCTACCATGCAGCAACACTGACCCATGATGCTCTCTGTTGATCCATTGTTTGTGTAGGAATAACTCAGTCGTGGTCAAAAGAGGGTTTTCATCTCTGTAATCAATCTTTAAACTGTGTTATAAAGTGGTAAAAAGCATCAGCAGAAAATTTTTTTTTTTTTTAGAACCTTTCTTTGTTAGATTATAGCACCATAGTTGGGATTTATACAATTCAACTAGAACAGTAGAAGCATGATTAAAAAGATGCTTAAAACACAGTAAAAGCCTTAGTGCAGGGCAGTTCTGCAGTGCCAGATTTGAGCAGTAGAGGTCAGTACTGTCCAATCTATTTGTCAAGTCACAATACATTGAAACACTTGCACTCATTAAGCAGTTTTAAACACAAGTCAGCAAGAATAACTTGAAATGTTTCATTTTATCGGGAGTTGTGTGCTAGTGAAAACTTCCTAAATTCTCTCATTAAGTACTTCCAGCTGTAATATGTCTTGGATATAACAGCCGTTTAATGTGTTCCCCTTGCTTTGGCCTCCTGTGACTCTCGCAGAGTGATTTATCTCTCCTGGTATTTGTGTAACTGCATGACTTCACTCTATAATGTAGCTTTCTGGTCCTGATTGAATGCCGCACTGTGCTGCTCGGCTCCTGCTGGCCTTCTGACGGCCCCTGCTGTTTCTTGATGGCCAGTCTGTCTGCGCTGCATTGCACACCTCCATCCCATTTCTTCCTCTCTCTCTGTCTCTGTTTTTTCTTCAGCAAGCCTGGTTGCAGCATTGAACTTCTGTTCTTCTGTCCCATCTCCTCCTCTCCACCACCTCTCTCTTTGTCTCTGCTGACCGCTCATTCCTCGTTGTGTTCCAAGCCATCTGGGCTTTGCAGCTAAACACCGCTCCAAGCCATCTGCTAGAGAGAAGTTTCCTATGGTTTTTGTGTGTGTCTGTGTGTGTGTGTTGTCTCTTAGTTTTGGCGACCTGCTGTCCTTCACTCTGACGGCCTTCGTGGAGCTGATGGACCACGGCATCGTCTCCTGGGACACTTTCTCTGTGGCCTTCATCAAGAAGGTCAGCCAAGAAAATGAGTCATGTAACAGGCCTGGGATAAGACGGACTTAATGCTGCTCTCCCACTGTGTATTGACTGGAAAAGTTTTGCTTTAACACTCTCATAATGGCTTTGACGCCCTCTGTGATAAATACAAGGTTGGAAGCTTTCTGTGCTGGTTACATTAAGATGTGTAAATTGTGTTGTTGTCGTGCCATCAGATTGCGAGCTACGTGAACAAGTCGGCAATGGACACAGCAGTGCTGCAGCGCTCCCTGGCCATCCTGGAGTCCATGGTGCTCAACAGTCAGGATCTGTACCACAAGGTGGCGCAAGAGATCACCATTGGACAGCTCATCCCACATCTTCAGGGGTAAGTGGATGTATCAGTAGATGTGTGTGTGTGAACATTAATTATTTTCGATTCATTTTTTATTTTTTAAACCACCAGAATCATTCACACAGTGATAAATGCAAAGCATGTGTGCAGACGATTATGATTATTATTTCAATAATGAATATTCTTGTTTGGGCTGTTTTCTAACGACAGGACTGATCAGGACATTCAGACCTACACCATTGCTGTCATCAATGCTCTGTTCCTCAAAGCTCCTGAGGAGAAGAGACAGGTGAGGCTACGGCGTGCACACGCAGCACTTTCACACTCCACTGAATCTACTGTACGTCATTTCATGATGCAGCGATCCTGTAACAGTGCACTTAATTTATGTGTGTATGTGTGTGCTTTTTGGTGTCTAAGAAGCACCAGTGTCTATAACACATCTGCAGCGGAGTGCAACAGTAAAATCTAGTAGTGAAGTATCGACAAATCATTTTTCTTTCCTTTCCTCTCTGCAGAAGTGATGTTTTAGCTTAAACATGCTTTCATTTCTCCATTCATCTCTCACTAGCTCCCTCACCGATGTCACAGATTGCCCTGTAGCTAACCACATGATCCCTTGCATCAGCACCATAGGGTCCAGGGATGTGCTTTGACATTAATAATGAATGATGCTAACCCACAGCTTTTTCTCCTATGCAGCATACAAAACTGAAGATGCGCTGTGCAGAAATAAGCTCCGCAGCACTACTGCATACAAATTCAAGCACACTCGGATGTTGCAGTGCCTCTTTTTTTTTTTTCTTCTTCTTTTTTTTGTTTGCTGGGATTTAATTAGCAAAATGTTGACAATTTGGTAATGGGCTGTTAAATTCAGATTCGTGAGGTTGATTGGGTGAAATTTTAAACAAATTTTTACTGGGTTGTTTTAGGTGATAAGTGAATAATGCCGTTCTTTTGCTCAGGAGCAGGCATATGTGGTAACATAGGTTTATAGCAGGTCGGTTTTATAATGAGATGCTGGTGGACAGCGCCTGTTCATCGTGTCAGTTCTTTTATACACAGATAAGTTGCAGATGACACATTTTAAGATATGCAAGGGGCTAATGACACCATTTTAGTTCTTAGATAGATGACAGTGGTTTTTGTGTGTTTGTCTTTGTGGTACAGACTCGGCCATCAGTAAAGCTATTATTATGATCCCCCATTCCCTCACCCTTCTGCTGACTCCATCACCCCCCACCCCCCCCACCCCACCCTTCTCCTTCCACAAGCTGCACCGCTGACAGAAAATGAATCTTTTTCTTAACCTCCTCTCAGACTCTCTTTTTTTTCTTTTTTTTTTTTTTTTTACCACATTCACTCACTCACCGTCTGTCTCTCTGTCTCTGACTTTGTTTCCTCACTGCACACGATATGGTAGTTTGATGAGCACATTGTGGACATCCTAAATTGTCCCTTGACAGTAAGTGCACCCTTGATTAGCACACTTTGTAGTTTGCACTGTAGACGACATTAGTTAGTGCATTTAGTATCCCTTTTTAAGATTAAGTTCTTATTTGGGATGGCTTCCTTGTTTGTTTTGTTTTGTTTTTTTGCGGCCTGTCACTGCATACTTAACGGTGTGCAATGGCAACTTTATTTTGGTTTTTGCCCGCATCCATTTTCTTTCCATCATAGAGAACCCAAAACCTATGTACTGGTGATATGTTGTTGTTTCTCATCTTTATCCCTCTCACTCTCTCCCTGCTCTTCCTAAATTCTGTCTTTTGCTCTCTATCTCTATTTCTATTTCTCCCTCCTTTTCTTTCTCCCTCTGTAGGAGATGGCCCATATTCTCGCCCAGAAACAGCTGCGCTCCATCATTCTCAGTGTAAGTTTAATAATGCCCCTCTCCTCCTTACCTCTCCTGTGTGTCTCTCTCTCTTCCTCTCTCGCTCTCTCTCTCTCTCTCTCTGTTCGGGTTTATGCCTCTGCACCAGTGTGATATCAGAGAGGAAAATGACACCTGCCACTTCTGCCTGTGTCTCACCTCCCTGGTTATTATCTACTGTACTTCCTTTCTCGCACCTGTTCTCTTTTCTCTCTTTCATCCTCTCCCCTGTGTTAAATCTCATTTCTCCCTCTCCTCTTCCTTCATCTGACTTCTGCTTTCTAATCCTCGTCATTCACTCCCAAATCCTCTTATTCTCCTTTGTTATCTCTTACCGTCTTCCTCCAAAATCCACCTCTCGCCTCTCTGACCCCGTCCCCTCTCCTTCACCTTCTCCTTGCGCATCGAACGCCTCTGTCTTACTGTCCTGCTCTTCCTCCCTCCCCTCCCCTCCCCCTCCTCTCACTCCTCTCCCTTCTCTCTTTGTCCTTCATGCCATGTAGAATGTGATCCGGAGCCCCACACCCATCAACGATGAGATGGCCCACCAGCTGTATGTGCTGCAGGTGCTCACCTTCAACCTGCTGGAGGACCGCATGATGACCAAGATGGATCCCCAGGACCAGGTGGGGACTGAATGATGCAGACAGGAAATGGTGATGAATGAAAGTGAAAAAAGAAATGGAAGTTGGTACAATGCTTAATGTCCATTAGCTCTGTTCAACCTGAGTTGTGTGACCTTCGCCTGTCTGAGTTTGTATATTATGTTAATTACATGAGCTTCATAACCTATTGAAACCCATAATACACTTATACAATCTAATGCAAACAAAGCTGTTACTGTATGAATAATGAATTAAGAGAAAAAGTGATCTAGATCCATCAAATTAGCAATCAATTACACAACAACAGGAAGTAAGATGGTGCGTAACAACTTAAAGAATAAGCCTGGTGATATTCTGTTTTTTTTTTGTTTTTTTTTACTATCAACAAATCCCATGAAAAGACCAAAGCCAACAATGCTTTAGTCCGTCTGTCAGTATTTTCCGATTAGCCCAGACTATCTATTGCTCTCAGCCCCAAGCTCATTTGTTCCTACTGAAGACGTTAATCTTTAAAAACAGGCCAGGCAGTGCCACAGTGGCATTTTTTAGCAAACACTAGTCAGACAGGAGTAAATAGTGTATTTGTCAGGGACTATCTTCAGCAGTGAATTTATACACATTTGGGGCTTTAGTGAGTTTTTTCTGCAGCATGACCGTACTCCTGTTCGCCACGATGAAATAACTTGTGGAGTTGGAGTGGAGGTAAATGTCACAGAGGAATAAACCATATTAGACTTTGGCTACATAGAAAATTCCAGTTAGTGAAATCAGTTTGATTGGTTTTGTCTTTTCATGGGATTTGTTGACAATGAAAAAATAATGGAATATCACCAGACTTTTAAAACAAGAAGTTGTCCAGGCAAAATAATAAGTATTCAGGACATGCCTGTCTAATGGAGTATAGCCTACATTGCTCAAGTAACCTCAGACCCTGCAGGTGTACAAAGAACAGTTCCTAAAAAAAAAACCTTTTTATAAGAAAAAAAAAAACAGAAAAAAAACAGGTACATCTCATGGAGGGATCCCCCAACAGAACAGCCAAGCATTCTAAGCTGCCAGGAGTAAATCATTAATCTTTTATTCAACAGCTTGTGGGAAGTTTGGGCCTGATCCGGCCAGATTTCAAAAAACAGTTATTGTAGCTTTGGCCAAGTAATAAAAACGGTGGAGAGACATGGCTGCTGGCCAGATTGCCTTGGGCACTGCAAGACCCCAGACAACGGAGATGAGGCTGAAGCATTCTTAAATTATAAAATGGTGAATGGAAGAAAAGACAGATGGATTTATGAGCAACACTTTAATATTCTTCTCTGCGTGTGCAGGCTCAGAGGGACATCATCTTTGAGCTGCGGAGAATTGCCTTCGATGTGGAGTGTGAGCCCAACAACAGCGGCAGCATCGAGAAACGCAAGTCCATGTACACTCGCGACTACAAGAAGCTCGGCTTTATTGTAAGTTTGTGTGCGTGCGTGTGCGTGTGCGTGTGCGTGTGCGTGTGTGTGTGTGTGTCAGAGGGCTCCGTGAGTCTGCTTGTTCTGTGCCTCAAACTACTACAACTGAACACACACAGGACTCAAGACTGAGATCAGAAAGGAAAACACGAGCCAGTCTGTCCACGGGGGACTGCTGTTAATTGGACATGATTGTCCTTCACTTCAGAATCTGCAGATCAAAGTGTGTGTGTGTCTGTCTGGGCATGCCAGGAGAGATGGGCTGAGAAAGTGTGTTTTTTCTCTATGTGCTTTTACCCATCTTATTATATACTGTGTTTCTTCCTCAGGCTTTTTAAATGTATGTTGCTTACACTGTTGCTTACACTTAAGATTGTGTGTGTGTGTGTGTGTGTGTGTGTGTGTGTGTGTGTGTGTGTGTGTGTGTGTGTGTGTTTGTGTGTGTTGTGACTTTATGTTGTATGCAGTGGTCTAACTATAGCATAAGAACTTGAACTAAACCCACTGTGGTTTGGTGTAAGCCCAGAGTTGTTTCGGGGCTCTTCCCATCCACACTCCCACTGCAGTGTGTTCCGTAAAGATAAGGCCAATTGGACTGCCTTGTCTCCACTAGTGTGGAGAAAACCCACCCTAAAATCTTTAGACTGCTTTCCATGCTAGACAGCTTACACACACACACACACACACACACACACACACACACACACACACACACACACACACACACACACACACACACACACACATACACACACACACACAAACATACTGTGTACACACACCTCCACAAGCTATAACTCTCCAGATAGACGTTATCTCTGCTGAGATAATTTATTTGCCTTTTAGGGCCTTCAGGTTCCTTAAGAGGGGATTGTTGCACATGCTGGAATATTTTTCATGGGTCCATATGAGCGCGAGGCTTTTTTTTTTTTTTTATTTTTTTTTTTTTAAAGATATGCATGTGCCTGAGTGTCTGTTTCTGTTTTAAGCCTATAAGTCTGCTTCCTGTCAGGCAGACTTACCAAACTGATGAGCAGATCTCAGTGTCCTCCATTCCTCTTTCATCCTCCGCCTTCCTTCCTCCTCTTCCTGTCACTTTCCTCTTCAACATCCTGTCTCACCTTTTAAACTCAAGATGAGCTTCAGAATGATGCGTTTGCATATGTATCCAATGTTTTAATCATTAGTCAACTAAATTTTCTGCAGTATCTGGGAGGAATTAAGTGTGATGGACTGCGACAGCACAGGCAGTCTCTATCAGCATGTCCAATATAATATTTATCCGTTATGGGGAAGGGGGGGGGTGTGTGTGTATTGTAGATGCTAGCCTAAACTATAAATCATGCACAGTGTACTTTGGTTTTTTTTCTGACCATTTTCTAAAGCATAATGTAAGTTTTTAGGATGTTATTTTAATACTGTAGCTTCCAGGCAGCCAACTTGGAGAGGCTTTGAACCTTGCTTGAAAAAAGTGTCACTGTCCAATAAAACAAAATATGTGTTTCGTCAACTTTTCATCAAATAAGACAAACAAACTTGATGAAAGTGCATTTTTAGATAATTCACTGACTTTTAGAGAGTTTTTTCCTCAGATGTGGCAGAATTGTCTGTGCCCACAAATGAGAATTTAATCCTTCAATTTGTCTGAAAACCTGAAAATCGCACGTTGCTTTCACTGCAGCGACAGATCATCCATCACAGTGAACAGTTTTTCGGCTTAAAAGAAAAAAGATTCAAATTGAGCTCAGAAACTGAGTTTTAAAAAAAAAAAAAGCAGGTATGGGCATTGTGAAAAGGATGATTTAAATTTGGTGGTTTGTTGCATTAAGTTGCATTGGTTTTTGCATGTGCTTATCTCACTGGTTTGAAGTGTGTGTGGCTTTGTTCACATACTTCAGTGCACCTAATCAGAATCTAGCAATATTTATATCAAAAATCTGATCACCGTTGTTTCTGTCAACTTGAACCCAAGTTGCTCCCATTTGGGAACTGTTCGTACTGTGACTTTCATTTACTGGGAAAAGCGTCATGTTCAGAGGATTATACCCAAAAGAATAAAGCTTTAAAAAGAGATTTGGTAGTATGTGTTTAAATAAATGTCTCACCCTCCTCCTCCTCCACCTCCTCCTCTGTCTCTCTCAGAACCATGTGAATCCAGCTGTGGATTTCACCCAGATTCCTCCAGGCATGCTGGCTCTGGATAACATGTTGTACTTTGCCAGACATCACCAAGACGCCTACATCAGGGTAAGCGTGCACGTACAATTTTCATATGCAGTAGACACGCTGACACACACACACACACACGGCTCAGTCATTTCTATGGTGTTATGTTTCTCCTCGTCACCTCCGCTTCCTACCAGAGCGTCTTCCCTCCGGCTTGTTCACTTGTTTGTGGTTTCTGGCTCGTACCCAAATTTTCTTTCAGCGAAAACTACATTTCATGAGGTTACTCAGCCCAGACAACAGAGATGATTTAATTCTTTTCAGAGTAAGTCCCTGAGCAGCAGTGGGAATGACTTAAAGCATTTTTTGTCATTTTTACATGACAGTCAACTTAATTTTTACTGCTCTTTAATAGACTTCAAATACAGTATTTCAACTGTAGTGATCACTAGCTTTGGTGATTAGTTGTTTGAGTTTCCTCTTGCTGAATCAGGTTAGTTTGAATAATTTTATTGCAGCTCTCTTTTGTGATTAAAAATTACTGTGTTTATTGGTATGGACAGTACACATGCAGCAGTTCACCACACCTGTAAAAGTGTGTGTGTGTGTGTGTATGTGCATGATCTAGCATTATGTTGGTGTGTAACTCTGCCTCTGGACTTGAAAGTGAGAAAAGAGATGTCTTAGTAGTGCCGACTCAGCCCTTATCAGTCGACCAGAGGGAGAAAACAGAGCCTCCAATTTCCCAAATTAAACTGTCAACAGCTAAAATGATTGGGACCTTGATGGCCTCATTTATGGCGCCCTGCCACCATCCACATAATTAGAGTGAATTTTTTGCTGTAGAGATTTCGTTTATGTTTTTTGCCCTCCAACAGATAGTTTAAAGGGTCAGATAAGGTCAAATAATTACTAATATTTTCAACCATAATGGAAATGTTTATGGCATAATAACCTTCAGTGTGACAAGCTAGTGTGGTATTGTGAATTCATTCAAATATAAAAGCAAAGGGCACTCTGAGACTGCATACCTCTGCCAAGGCCACAAAATATTCTAAATTTGTTATTTTGATATAAAATGATTAGACTGTAGGATACGAACATTTTTCTTTGGCCAAGTTGCAGTGTCGGAAAGATACTGCAGCAGATGGCAATGCATGCTGCGACCACCCGCTGACACTGAGGATGAATGGGATGAAAGACACCCGATGCAATATGTCACATAAATATTCTTCATACATCAGCGTCATTCACATAGACGCTTTAATCTGCGTCCACATTTACTTGCCATTTTTAACCTGCATTCCATGGACCAAAATGTTCGACCACTGTGTTATAACAGTGCATGTTGCTATAGTCTAGGTTACTATACTTACTACTATATAGTCTTTAGTATAGGCAAATATTTTGAGGTAACTACAAATGCGCTCCTATCTTTTACTGGTACATTTGTCACTTTGTAGATTTCACCAAAACACGCCATCATATTCTCCTCTGGCTTATTTGATCGTCTGTGTTTCTAGATCGTCCTGGAGAACAGCAGTCGAGAAGACAAGCACGAGTGTCCGTTTGGCCGCAGCAGCATCGAGCTGACCAAGATGCTCTGTGAAATTCTCAAAGTGGGCGAGCTTCGTAAGTTTCCCTCAGCAAACAGACACACACAAACACCTTCCACGTTGCTTGTATTATCTCCAGAGTGAGCATATAAACAGTAGGAAAACCTATAAGGGAGTGCTTCGCAGAGATGCATATAGTTATGTGTACAAAAATACAAATATCTGGACACACATGCTCACAAATACACAAGTTCCCTCCTTGTTAAGATGAAAGCAAGCATAATGCTCAGTAATTGTGCTGACGGGAGTTCATTATTTAGCGATGCATCTCACCCCATTGAGCCCTTATTCAGCCTTATATACCACCTCTGGGAGGCACACGGAGCAGAGAAAGAGATGCTGTGCCCACGTCCACTCCAAATTGATGTGCCCTTTTCATTTGTCTTTACTTGTTTAAATGTGCGAGTTGGTCTCAGTTCTGCTCCCGACTGACCCCTGCTGCTCCCTGTAGGGAGGGAGATGGCATTTTTAGCTCAGTTTTAAAGGGATGTGCCCTTTTCCTCTGCTCATGTCTGTTTTGTTTTTTTTCATAAAGGATTCAGACGTGGCTGCATCGCAGGGTTCTTCACTCGTCTGTAAATTGCAGGAAGAACATTAGACTTTATTGAAAGAATAGTGTCCACTTCGGTTTCTGTGCCTTTAAAAGATATTCAAAGGAAGTTCACCCGAATTCTCTCATCTGTTCTAAATGTTACTGATAAAAGTGCCAGGCTAGGTTTCAATACAAGATAAGAGGGTGCAGTAATACTTTTTCTTTAACATTTCTAAGCATATTGTAATTTTCCTGTCCTTTTTTTAATATGCTCTTATCGCTGCCAGACTCTGCTCTAATGCAAATGTCTCCACCATCCTCCCTGTCCTCATCAAATTCTCAGCACACAGTCAGCAAAGGCAAATGGATCTAGATATTTTATGTTAACCGTAAAGAAGCTGTCTGCAGCACTTTATTACACTAATGTAGTTGCCCTGACCTGGAGAGGTCTTGGGTGGGTGAGTGGAGGGTTTTAGTCTAGGTGAGGAGACAGGTCATGTTCTCCTGTGGTGCTTTGTGACGCGTGAATGCACATACTGAGCTTTTAGCTTCACTTCTTTCATTGGTCGTGTGTTTGTGTGTGTACCCACTTGTATCTGTGATTTCCTTCTGGGCAGCATGTCTCAGTGCTGAACTCCTATTCAAAGTATGTCATGAGCTTTTATCCAGATGTGAGCCACTGCACATGCCCTTTTGACCTTCGCTCTTAGTGGACTGAAATTGCCTCTCTTTAGTCTCTTTGAAATAACACTTTAACATCATTCATATCAAAATGGAGATTAGGCAACCAGACTTGTCCCAAAATAGAGAAAACATCTTTATCTCTCTGGCTTTTCTAAGCATGTAGTTGAAGGCTTATGCAATAGGGCTAAATCCCTAGGACGAATGCCAGGCCGTCATTATGAATAAGACTTTGTTTCTGAGAGACTTGCTTGTTCAAATAAGTAGAGCTGGGGCAAGTGCAGGATTTCACGTAATTTACTCCGAAACTATGATGAGAACAAGCAGCCAGACCTACAAATTCTGCCCAACATTTTGTGATCTTCTTGGTTTGGTAGAAAACCTTCATCTCCAAAGTCTTCCATTTTTGCAAATAGTGTTTTCTATTATTTTTATGAAGATGAAGATACTGTTGTGTTGTGACACTAAAAATTTCCCTGCAGGACTCAATGCCTGAGTTGAATAATGGCAATGACCTTGACTTGTAGTTCTGGGCCTTTCTGTTCCCAGTGGCTGTATAATGTCCTCTTTACTGAGGCTGTTATCCCAGGAGACTGAACCTACTATTAATATTTATGATGTGGTACAGTGTTTATGTGTGTATGTGTAAAATGCAGGGACAGATAAGAATTGGTAAGGTGAACCCATAAGCTGCAAAGAATGATCCATCCGTCTATAGATACTGTCTGCTGCCCTAAGACATGACAGGATTCCTGTATACACAAGTAGGTCATCTATGGGCACACAGTGAAAAAAGAATATGTGCAAAGGGAATAAAATAAAACAACCCCTTGCAGGAAATCACTGGGTACAGGAGAGGAAAGTCAACATTTTGATATATTTATATTTACTTCGTCCCAAATCTTAATGTTCCCATCCATCTCTTGTCACAGCTCGAGTAAATATTTGCACAGACTCACACTCACAGAGCATCATATGTGTCTTATTCTTATGGGAGGAAGCCACCGTGTCCCAGTCATAATCTGCACTGTGTCTTCTCTTGTAAAGGGCTAAGTGCATTTTCATACACACCCCATTAGCCCTGTGTATATTAACACACACTAATGAATGTATGAGCAAGATGAATGTAACATGGGCCAGGCAGGTGTTGTAAATGCTTCGTGAGGAACGGCTGGTCATTAGAGGTGGTGTGTATGTGTGTGTGTGATGTTAGGGCATGAGTGTGCATTTCCCAGAGGAAAGCTGGGAGAGAAATGAGTCTCTGCCCTGCACTGACTGTCATCATTCGGTTGACCTTTCAACAGGGAAACAATGAAATACATGACACTAATGAGGATGTTAGCGGGAGTGTCTGTGTCTCTGCAACGTTTTATCAGTTTTGATAGTGTGGTATTTGAGTCAGAGTTGTATTAGAAACCTTGGCGCATTGTTTCACCCATAACTTGAAGTGTAACAATGGCATTTCAAGCTGATTTTTTTTTTTTAATGCACCATTTTTCACACTGTGGGGAAATCGTTTCTGCATTGGCCAATCGCCAGATGAATAACACCAACATCATTTTTATCTGTGTAGTTCAGTGAATGGCAGTATTGGTCAGTCGGTCCACCACTTTAGCCAGGTCTGACATATGTCAACAACTTCTGGATGAATTGCCATAAAATTTTGTATAGACGTTCATGGTGCGCAGAGGGTGAATCCTAATGATTTTGGTGATCCCCTGACTTTTCCCACCACAATGAGGGTGACATTTGTGATGTAAGGATCCAATGTCTTGGCAACATTTGGATGGATGGCCATGACATGCATGCCCCATCAACATTTATTATATGAACTTTGTTGATCTTATAACTATTCATTTTTCACCACATTAAACTGTAAATTTGTCAATGCCTTAGGTTTTTGACCAAATACCTGCAATTCTAAAGACATTCAGCATCACCTGCACTTGCATATTAGCATGCTAATGTTACCATTTAGCTCAAAGCACTGCTGCTACAGCCTCACAGACCTGCTAGCTTGGCTTTAGACTTGTAGTATTGTTTATTCATTGCAGTAACCCATTAGCTGACATTTGAACGTTTATGTGAATAATCCTCTACCCAACATAAGCGTCAGTGCAGCAGGAGATACAAAGCATGCAGGAACAAGTTGATATAGCCGTCAAAGCAGCTGTAACCTCTAAATGTTTCATAGTGCAGAGCAAAACTGAGACCCAAAGCTGCTCCCAAAACTTCATCAAAGCCAACTACAACACAAGCACTCAGTGATTCTCCATTGAAAAGCCATGGTTGTCTTTCAAACCTGGTTTCTATTAAAGGAGTCCAAACCCCTGGTGCAGAAAAAGAGTTAATTTCAGCTTTTTTTTAACCTCCTCCCTCTCTGCTCCACTGCCCTATGTGCATAAAGGCAGAAGAAAGAGACAGCGGATTAATTGTGACGGCGGGGACGTCTTAGTGGCTCATTTGCTCGCTCCATCTATGTGAAATGCCAGTGTGGCTCTGGCAGGGGCCAGACACTGTCTTCTTGTTTTCTCATGAGGATGAAACACCAAGGGATTCTTGATTTGCCTGGGGCTATTGAAGTTGCCTTTCTTCCCCGCTCGTCTCTTCAAGTTCTCTTTCCAGTTTAATGTTTCTCACTTTTTCTCACTCTTCACTCCTTCTTTCAGGCTCTCTGTTTTTCCCTCTTTGTGGCTCTGTCCCTCTCAGACTTGTAATCCTTTCTCATGCTTTCACGCTCTGGCTCTCTTTCTCCATCCCATGACTTTGACGAAAATGACATCATATACACTACAATACAAATAGCATCTTACATATCTTACATTCATAAACAACAGAGAACCTAGTCAAGAATATGCTATGACAGTTGTTTCAATGTTTTTTCAGGTCAAGAGATTTTCTTGCATTCCACTTATCCATTTAACGCCATCCTCATTTTGAGGCATTTGACATTTTCCCTTTTCGTTGCTAAGATATTTCTATGTAGATTTGGTCTGGAGAAAGGAGGCAAGGGAGCTTGTTTGGTTGAATCAGCTGTCAGAGCTGCTAGATCCTACATAATTCATAACACTTTCCAGGTGTCACTCTCTCTGTCCTGTCTCTCTCTGTTTCCTCTCTCTCTCTCACCCTCTTCCATTAATTCATAACCTTTCTGTTCCTCTCTCCCACTCTTGCATTTGTTGTTGCCCTGCTTCAGATCCTAAAAGATTAATTGTCCCACCATGTTTCTGCTGGAACGTGGGGCTTAATGGAATCTGCGTCGGTGAGGCACCAAGCCATGACTTTTCCGACTCTCCTGTTTAAGCCGGTCCATGGAATATTTATGAAGTTATTTAGAAAGGGCCAGGCATGGGGAGTAATGGCCCTGCTTGGTGATTCATGGTGTGGCGTCTCATTGCTGAGATGGAGAGCAGGGTGGTGAGCTATGGCAGGTCTGAGCATGGACACACACATGGAAGCAGCCTCACACATGAAACTGAAAAAGGAACCAGAAATAAGCACCTACGAACACACACGCACACCCATGCACACGCAGACACACACACACACACACACACACACACACACACACACACACACACACACATACAAGCAGGTCTGGCCAGGCTCCAGACTGACAGTCACATGATGTCCTTATATTTGTAGCTGTCTCCTCCATCACTGAGCGATCAGCCAAGGTCAGAACAAAAGGCCATGTTCAGCACCATGGACAGCTCCTGTCGTACAACAGAGCTGTACAGCATCACAATACATCACTGTGATATTTGGATTGATTTTCTTTTTTTCATTGTCTTGTCTCAAGA